GAGCCGCCCGGCACCCGCCCCGGCCCGCCGGGCCCCGCACCGGCACTCTCCCCGCGGCTACGCGCTTTCCCCCCCCCCCCCGACAGCCCGCGGATCCGCCCCACCCCACCTTTGCTTTTATTTCTCTTAATAACGTTTATTATCCCAAGTGCTTCTGGGCTGGATGCGCTTTTTCATCGCTTTTTTTTTTTTTTTCTGCTTTTTTGCCTTTTTTTTTCTTTAAAGGAAGTTCTGGAAATAAGTCTAAAGGCGAAAGTAGTTTGTTTACATTACAGATTAGCAGCGCGCTGCGATTAGCCTTCCCTTGCCGCCCTCCTGCCCCACCATCGCAATCGGGTCTAAAGCGGAATCTCACCGGCCACGTGAAGTTAAAGGGCAACTTAATGGGGCTGTCAAATCTCTCTGTATCCTTGATGCTGAAGGAGTTTATTCCCAGAACCGGGGTGATGATGCTGCCGAACGTGCAGGAGCCCGGGGAGACCACTGCCTGAAAATGCTTCAAACAAACGCGAAAGAAGGTCCTGCAGTGGGGGGAGCAGGGCTTCCCGCTGGCCAGAGACCCGTGGCTATTCACGAATTCGTGCAGCTCCAGCTGGAAGACGCCAGAGCCGGACACCCTCTGCACAAAGGGGAGACACAAAATAGCCAAATCAGACCTTACCCCGGCTTTGCCATGCAAACTTGCTTCCATCACCCACTTTACATTTCGCGAACCCTTTTTTTTTTTTTTTTTTTTTTTTTTGCGACGTGCGATTACCTGCTGCAAAATCATTAACAGAAACGTCAAGCCAAAGACGCGCAAGGCTGTCATCCTTGTGTTATTCAAGCTGCCAGTTCTCAGTGGGTTTAGTTTTCCTCCTGTATTCCTCGAATGGTCCAAGGAAGCGCTTCTCGGTTGAGGGAGAAAAGGGAGGCGTCCCGGCGATTCTCCTGCAGCAACCTACTCTTCCAAATATTCCCCGAGCACCAGCAGAAATCGGAAGGTAAAATCCAGGTGTCGATCCGTCCCCTTCTGGGAATTAATCCTGCAGCCAGCCGCCGACCTCTGATCGCTGTCGTCGCCTTTATAAACTCCAAAGCCGGGTGGGTTTGGTGAGAGACGCGGAGGGGAGTGCTTAGCGTGGAACCGCTCCTCCTTTAACCGGTGCTAACAGCGCTCAGTAAATGGAAAACTTGCTTCCCTTCGAGCTGTTTATATAGTTGCCTCGCATCCTCGCAAGCTCATTATGTAAACTGTCAGTCAGACTCACGGGCGATCCCTCCCCTTTTCCATCTTTCCTTTCTGGAAAAAAAGAACCAAATGTTGCGGGGAGCCCTCATATCCAGAATTAATACCCTGCTGCCGCCGCCGCCGCCGCTGCCGCGCTGACCGCCGAGGAGCCGAGCTGATTACGAGCAAGCCAAGCATCTGTTGAGATATTTACGGCGCTCACACTGGGAGAGTTCCCTCGAAAATCGGACGCCTCTCCACAGAGCGGCTTTCCAGAGCGGCCGAACAATAGAGGACGAGATGTTTAAAAAACACGCTTGTTAGTTTGTTTGTTCGCTTCTCTCCCCCCCGATCGCTACGTGTGCGCCCGCCCGCCCTCGCCCCGGCCGCTTCCCGGGGCGGCGGGACGGG